GATCGCAGACACTGGTAGGAAACGCATTAGTGTCAATGTATGCAAAATCCGGACTTGTTTTAGATGCATCTGTTGTGTTCGATGGAATTGCTGACAAAGATGTTGTTTCGTATAATGCAGCTATGCAGGGTTTAGCCGAGAATAACCTCGTGGATGATGCGTTTCGGCTCTTTTATGAGATGATTAAAGGTCCGGTAATGCCTAATTACGCCACCTTCACAAATATATTGCCTTTGTGTGCTGCTTTGCCTAATGCTGTCGGTGATATACTGGGAAAGGAGATGCATTGTTATGTTTTGCGACGTGCTGAGTTGGAACATGAAACTGTTGTAATTAACGCTCTTTTAAGCTTTTATCTGAGGATTGGCCGAAGAAGAGAAGCGCAATCTTTGTTTGGAAGGATGAAATTTAGAGACTTGGTTTCGTGGAACTCATTTATAGCTGGGTGTGCTTCAAATGGTCAATGGTTGAAAGCGTTGGACGCTTTTCGTGAGTTGGTTAATATGAAGATGATTCGGCTGGATTCCGTCACTGTGATTAGCATTCTTCCTGTTTGTGTACAGTTATTTAATCTGCAATTGGGAAAGGAAATACATGGGTATGTTTTGCGGCGTCGAACACTACACGAGGATATATCAATTGGGAATGCGTTGATTAACTTGTATGCAAAATGTTGCTGCGCAGAGTCAGCTTTCAGTTTATTTTTGCTTATTCCTCGAAAGGATTTGATATCGTGGAATACCATGCTCGATGCTTTTGGAGTAAATCAACTCGAAACTCAGTTTGCTGACCTGTTATATTGGATGTTTATGGATGGAATAAAACCTGATGCGGTTACTATGTTAACCGTGGTGCAGTTCTGTGCGAGCTTTTCAAGAATAAAAAATGTTAAAGAAACTCATGGGTTTTCATTGAGATCCAGCGTTTTACTTAGAGATAGCGAACTGACTCTTGGAAACGCATTGCTTGATGCATATGCCAAATGTGGAAATATGGATTATGCATCGAAATTGTTCGACAACTTATCCGGAAAGAGGAACGTAGTGACATGCAATTCAATGATTTCGGGATATTTGAGCCACGGTTCACACGACGAAGCACATATTATATTCGAGAAAATGTCTGAGAGGGATCTCACTACTTGGAATCTCATGGTACGAGGCTACGCTCAAAACGAATGTCCTAACGAAGCTATCAATTTGTTTCACGAGCTGCAGTACAATGGAATCAGGCCTGACGCCATGACTATAATGAGTGTCCTTCCTGTTTGTGGTCAAATGGCTTCGATTCATTTGCTGAAACAGTGTCATGGATATATTGTTCGGGCTTGTTTTGAGGATGCTCATTTAAAGGCAGCTCTTTTAGACGTGTATTCAAAATGTGGAAGCGTAAAAAGTGCACACAAGCTCTACAAATCAACTCCAAAGAAAGATCTTGTTGTGTTCACTGCTATGGTTGGAGGGTTTGCTATGCATGGAATGGGCGAAGAAGCTATTAGGGTCTTCGACCATATGCTCGAGTGTGGTATCGAACCAGACCATGTTGTAATAACTGCCGTTTTATCTGCTTGCCGCCATGCTGGTCTTATTAATGAAGGATTGGTGATTTTTAATTCAATAGAACAAGTGCATCATATGAAACCGAGCATGGAGCAGTATGCTTGTCTGGTAGATCTCCTTGGTCGAGGAGGCCGAATTAAAGAAGCGTTTTCTTTTCTAAATCGAATGCCTATCGCAGCTAATGCTAATATATGGGGTTCACTTCTCGGTGCTTGCAAGACTCACCACGATGTGGATATGGGTCGTGTTGTGGCCGATCACCTTTTGAAAATACAAACGAACGACATTGGAAACTACGTAGTTTTGTCGAATCTATATGCTGCAGATGCTAAGTGGGATGGTGTATTGGAGATGCGGAGGTTGATGAAGACGAGAGACCTGAAAAAGCCAGCTGGTTGTAGTTGGATCGAAGTGGGAAGTAGTAAAAACATATTTGTAGCTGGAGATTATTCTCACCCAGATAGGAGAAGCATTTTTAGCATATTGAATCACCTCGACAAACAGATCAAAGAGCTATATAAGTCACCTGATATTTGAAGACATAAAACATACTTGGTGTCATTGCAGTTGAAAGATGAGAGGATAGAGTATAATTTGCAGGGAGCAGTACTACTCCACTGCCTGAAAGCACATTAATGGTGGACAAATCAATCTTGTGACCTTAGGAAATGGAGTTGATTGAGTCCTGGTAAGGATCCTATACTCCAAATATTTTTGCCTTTTTATTTTTGTGGCCTAAGTATAAATGTGCATCAAAATCTGCAGTGAAGCCACCACAGTTTTTTCTATTATATTAATTAGGGCAAATTACGGCCACCCCTGAGGTAAGCTCAAATTACGAAAAAACCCTCATGTTTGGGTAATTACAACCACCCCTCAACTATGTATTGTCTTACACGTCCATCCTTACGATGTCAAATTTACCTACTAAATATGAGGGGTTTTTTCGTAAGACAATACATAGTTGAGGAGGTAGTTGTAATTATCGAAACAAGAGGGTTTTTTTTCCTAATTTGAGCTTACCTCAGGGGGATGGCCGTAATTTGCCCTATTAATTGTGTTGGAACAAAATACTTGCCCTATTATATATAGTGGTTAGTAAACCACCATATATAATATCATTATTTTGTTCCGTTGCAATTTGACTACCATACCAATTCATGCTCCCTCTATCAGTTAGCTTGTCTATCATAGTCATCTACTTGACTACTTCAAAACACTCATTTTTAATATGACCAACCTGTTGCAATTTTGACATATAGGTTCTTACTAAGCTTGTTTTCTGCATTGTGTACACTTTTGTTGACTTATTTATATTTCTACCTTTTCGAGGTCCGTTTACCGAATCTTCCACTTCTAAATAGTTGTCTTCTATATGTTTAGCACTCGGTGATGATTCAAATTTACTTTTTACCAAAATGCACATCAATCAATTTTGTTCAATAGAAATCCAAAGTTTAATAACACTTAACTTCTTTATTCAAACTCTGTTCTGTTCAAAAGATATCCCATGTTTGTTTTGATTTATCAGCTCTCATTATAATTGTGAAGATTGAATTTGCAACAGCGTTTCTGGTTTTGACTTTTGACCGAAACTACCATGTTTTCTCACCGTGAGATCTTTTTCTTGCACCAAAATTTGTTGGTCTTTCTGAAAACATTGAAAGAGTAACCCGTTGCAAATTTCTTGATTTTGCCATAAAATTTTTCTGATGGACCTTACTTGTAAAATTTCTCTTTCTTCTTCTATTTAGACCTCCTCATGGATCGGTTTCTTCATATATCCGCTCATGGTAACCATGTTTATTGCCAATTTTGTTGTATCTTCGCAACCCTTCCGTATGAAAGTTTTGGCTTCATTTATGGATGATTAATGGCAGAATAATCTCAGTAGCTTAGTATTGGCTTAATGTATGCTCAGAGCTGAAATAAAGTGAAAATTGTAGAGGAAAATGTAGCTACCAAAAAATATGATATTCTGTTACAAATTAAAAGACAAGAATGCTGAATCTTTTAACATGAAAATGAAGACAATTTCTACAAAGCATGCTTATTGAAAATGACGCTAGTCTACTAGTGCAACTATTATTACATAGCCCAAATACATATCATCTTGTATCATATACTTGCTGGCTTGCTGCTTTGGAACATTTATTGCAATACGACTATAATTTTATTGACAAATCCTTATAAGATCAAGTAGAAAAATAAGGAAACTAAATAGTAGTAATTTTCTCTACATCGAAATGCTGTTGGGAATTCCTCTGCCAGTAAGTCCAATATCACTGCTGGGGCAGAGCAATGTGTAAGGCATCTTGACTGGCCCTGACCTGTTCTTCCATCTCCCATCCTTGTTCATCTCGATGATTCTGTTTTCTATTTGTACTAGCCTTTCGCCAAACATTTCAAATGCTTTAATTGCTTCTGTATCGGTTGTCCACTCAGGAGAATCTCGCTGTCCAAGATAAACCTCATCGGCAGAATGCCTCGACAGTATTTCAATCAGGGAAATGCCGAGCACGCTCTGCAGTTGGGAAGTGATGGTCTTCAAGAAAGCCTTTTCGGGATCCGTTTTTAGTTCGTCGTACTCAGGTGTGCCCTTGTCTGGAATGAAATGTCGGCTCGTAGATGGTCGGTTTGGCAGATAGCCTCCGTAAGGGTACTGTCCGAAATTCACTGCTGCATGAAGGGCAGATGCCACCCATACGATGATTGTGCACGAGTCTATCAGTTCTTTCCTTGTCTGCATCTTTGGCCACCATGGTTCGTCTTTCATGTCTCCATGTCCCTTTTCTCGTACTTCTTTCCACCATGACTGAAGCTCGGTGTCTTTCTGGACCATGTCATCTGTCTTGTAGTAAATGCTGCAGTAGTCCTCAACCCATGTTTTGATCGCTGTCCAGATCTCGAGTCCATCAACAGCAAAGGGGTAGTCCTCAATTAGTAGGCGAACTCCGTGTGGGGAGCTCGAGTCTTCAATTGCTACCCCTCTAAAACAAGGTAGACGTTGTCATTTTCAGTTAGTAAGATCTGATGTCCATTACTTCTGAGAAAGCTATTTAAATGGAACTCATATCTGGTGTTTATTTTTTTATTTTTTAACCAATTTTTCCGAAACAAAATCGAGGAGTAAAGTGGTAGACCTATGTACCTCTTAACGAGATCTGCAGGGAGTCCCTGATCTGGGAAAGCCCAGTTTTTGTAAATGCTAGACGACATTTCCAAGGCATATTTTCCTGGAAAAACAGTAATTTCAAGAAACCCTCCAGCATTTATGAGGGTTTGCCTAGCCATTGCGTTTACATTCATCGTATCTCGGAAATGAGGCTGCAAAAGCTTATGAATCGGGTGAAGTACGCTCAGCTGCCGATTGGTGGCAATAATGAATGGCTCAATTGCTGCATGAGTGTACAACCTGCAATCCAAACAAGACACGACGAATTTTTTTACCAACTTCAGAAAGAAGAATAGCTTACATTCTGTGCCTAAAGACATTTGCTGCTCTGTTTTTACAGCTTTTATTACCAGTGACATATGAGCTGATGATAGCCAGAATCATTCACTGCAACATAAGCCTTGGCCAACTGCCAAACGGTGCCTTCAATCCCATCTTCAGCTGGAGTGTACACTGAACTTACTGCTCCGAATTTATCCCCGTTTGGATGCGGCAAGCTCAGCTCAATTGCCAATGGCTTCAGAGTTCCATCGCTTTTCAAGAAGAGAACCGTTCTTGTTGCGTAAGTCTTTGCTGCTGTAGTGTTTATCCTTCTCAGGTAGGGCATCAGGTTATCGTGGTGGTCTAATATGAACAGCTTATTTTTCTCAATCGCCTGTATTCATCACCATAATTACTTAAGTTAAGCTATATACTGACTACACAGTTCCGAAAAATTTAAGAAGATATATTTATTTTTACCTCGGGTATGGTGAAGCCGTCTAGGCTGTTTACTATATGTTCTTCAGAGATTGTGCTGGATTGCTTTCCATATAGCTCGGGATCTAACGTGCTTGCTGGGGGAAACTCCTGTAGTAGAGAACAAGTGATATTTGTGCTTCAGAAATTTTGAATTCGTATTGCTGGAAAACATATATTCATAGTAGAAAGCGTTATTTACCTGGAGGCGACGTATAACAACAGGATTGAGTCCAGCCAGCATTTCTCTACCAAATTCTTCATCACTTCTCCAAGCAGTTTTATCCTCTGCTGCATCAAACGGGTAACAAGGTTAAAGCCGAAGAAGCACATATATATCTCTTCATTCTACTCTCATAATATACATATCATTTTGTATGAATTCAACGCAACAATTTGTCTAACATTACCTTTAATAACCTGTGGCAGTGGAAATTTAAAGGATTTTTCTCCATCAGATCGAATCAACTCCTTAATCGTTTCGAAGGGGATGTGTTCGCTAATTTTTTCCAGTAAAGATCCGTTCGGTACCTTGATTCCGCCTTCATAGAGCTGCAGCACGTCCTCAAGTGAGTCAAATTCTTCGGGAGTTTTGTCGAAGAGAGCCTCAAACTCAGGTGCAAGGAACTGAAATATCGACTTTAGAGCATACGCCACAAAATCCGACATCTTCAGGTGACTAAACCTTTCATCCCTTGGAACATATATACTCAAGCTCTGATACAGCGGTATCCTGCTTTCGCTATTAGGATCTGCCAAATGTTTATAATGAGATTCTTCTGGTTTGTATAAAACCTTAAAAATCATGTAATAAGTTTGTCGGTAAGAATCCTGTTTGTTACCTGATGAAGCCAGAGGTCGACCTGTTCTTCCTCTACGAGGGTATGGATATTCAGTCGAACCGCCTAGAATAGACCGTACGTGCTTTGGACTTTTATCTGGATCCCCTAAATCATTGTAGATATCATAGTCGTAAACCCTATCCCATTCCTCAAGCTTTCCAGTTCCGTTTCCTCTCAGGTTCTGCAATTCTTCCTCTCTGTAACGACGTAGCCGTGCAGGTGTTTGGTTGGGAAGATATGTCTGTGCAATGAAGTCATTATATTTCTTAATAAACGGCATTTCATCGACCACTAAAAAGTAGCAGGCACGAAACTGTCTTTTATCACATGTTTAATTATTCATCACTATAAAATTTGAAGCTGTTTTCTAAACAACTTTTCGAGCCGTCCTTGAATCTGTTATGTTAGTATTATATGTACACTTTTATCTTCTTGTGTTGGTCTCGGTTTTTTGTTTCTCATGAAAATTTACCAAGGCACTGAAACATTACCTGATTAGCAAAAAACACACGGTCGGTCTTGTAATATTGAGCAGGATAAACCCAAGAGTTGCAGACGAAATGTACTCGGCCATGCCCAGGTATATCTTCGAGAGTGAGTGTCTTGAGGTAGAACTCACTGTGGTGAAAATTTGTTACCGTAAATGCCCCTGGAATCCCCATCTCCTTTGTCCACTCGAACGTGACGGTGTATGTTGCATCCCCTGCTGTCAAAGGGCCGATTTTGGTAATCAAGTCTTCCAGGTACGCTATCTTCCCGGGTTTTCCCTTCAAATTTTCTTCTGCAAAAACAAACTGGAGTCTATTATTATCTTGTATTATTATTGATTTGGGTATAAAATGGTAATCATGATATCTTAGCCGTTGAATCATCAGTTTCGATACACGAGACCGTACTAATCCAACGGTTGAGATGTCCTTTGATCAGGATTTTAAGTTGAATCAAAAAAGGGGCTGTAAAATCGTAATCGTAAAATTGTAGGATTTTACATTTCTTGTAATTTATATAGCATGCCATATTCTGTATCTCTTAACATATATGAAACATTTCGTATTTTCGTGACATAAATAAAGTATGCACAATATAAACAGAACATGTGTTTTTGGTGGTTGATTAATCGTAGATTTTAAGGCTCTGTTTGCTTTCTTCTATAATAATAGGTAAAAGGGTGGGTGTAACCATGAAGTAAATCAAATTTTTTGTTCAGTGACCTAGGTCAAACACAAGGTCAAGTGATTTAGATGAAAAATTAGGGAAAAAAATAGACTAAAAGATTTGAATGTAGATGGTAGTAAAATCGTAAAATCATAGGATTTCGGGATTCTAATCGGGATTTTGACTAATGAACTTTCAGCCAATAATAAGCGAAGACACGCACGCGCATACATACCAGAATCGTGATCGAGGGAAGCAGTGGTGATGAGCTGGAGGGCCACCTTCCTTCCCAGGATTTCGTCTACACTATCCACAATGGATGCTGCAATATCGTTCACTTCTAGCAAATTCTTCTTCATTAGAACCACAATTCCTTTCATCGTCTTCTTCTTCATGCTTTCTCCTTCCATCTCTTCGTATTTTGATTTCTTGTCACCCATGCTAATTTTTTTGATGGGAATTATGAACTTCTTTTTATTCAAAACTCCAACTAACTTCCAACAGTTTTCAATATATATGTGTATATATATGTGTGTCTGTGTGTGTGTGTGTTGAGTACTTAGTGAAGAAGAAGATGTGCCACTGAGTAAGGTACTTATATTGCCAAAAAATGTTACTATAGTTTAAGTTGGTTGACTTTGAATTATTTCGGGGAAGACTTGGGATAATGTGAATCCTTACATATATATTATGCGACAAAGTTATGGTAGGTGTAAGAAAGAAATTAAGATATATTCATTATGGGGCTCTTTGAGAAAACCCCCTCACTACTTTTTTTAATTGAGGGAGGCCCAAAATATTTTAGACCATTTGAGAAAAGTCCATGATCCAATTCAACCATTGTGTTTCCCAGCTTTACCCCCGCCCGCCACCTCATCACAGCTGGGCACGCGCTCCAGCAATTTTTTTTTTTTTTTTTTTTTTTTTCCGTTTTTTTAATCGACTATGAAGCATAGTCGAATAGTCTTAATTCGACTATGCTTCATAGTCGATTAAGGAAAATCTTTAATTTTTTTATTTTTTTTTTGTTTCTAATTTTTTTTTTTTATTTTTTTTGGTTTTTTTAATTTTTTTCTCTATAAGGTTTATTAATGCATAGTCGATTAAAATTTTAGCTATTAAAAATAACAAATCATAATTACAAAAAAATGCAAAATCAACTATATTTAAAAAAAATATACAAACATTGTAATTGATTTATACATTGGAATCAATAAAACAAAAAATCAAAAAAAAAAAAAAAATTAACAACTGGAGTCGGTCAACCTTAATCGACTACTGAACATAGTCGATTAAGCCTTAATCGACTATTGAACATAGTCGATTAAACACACGTAGTCGATTAAGGCCCTGCCTGCGCGAATTTCTTTTTCTACGCGAATTCAACAAACCCATCGGAATCTTCCACCCAAAACCGCCGCCGCCAGCAGACCCATCGCAATCCTCCACCCAAAACCGCCGCCACCACCAGACCCATCGCAATCCTCCACTCAAAACCGTCGCCACAAACATCATTACCATCACTCATGAACAGAGATATTTGAACCGGCACCGCCCTCGCCGCCACCATGTACCAGGCCACCGGATCCGCCGGCGGGGGAGCGGCAGCGGCGGTGGTGAAAGGCTAGTCTGGAAGATCCAGATCTGCTGCGAGCTTGACTTCCTTTCTTCGCATCTTTGTGGGCATCGAGACGGGGGAGAGGCAGGACGGTGGTGAAAGGCGGTGGACGGCGGGGGAGCGGCAGCGGCGGTGGTGAAAGGCTAGTCTGGAAGATCCAGATCTGCTGCGAGCTTGACTTCCTTTCTTCACATCTTTGTGGGCATCGAGATGGAGGAGAGGCAGGGCGGTGGTGAAAGGCGGTGGACGGCGGGGGAGCGGCAGCGGCGGTGGTGAAAGGCAAGTGAATTTGAGAAAGAGAAATTAGGGTTTCAAAATAGTATATTGACAATTAAGGGTAGATTTGGAATTATAAAAATAATATTTGGTGGAATACTAACCAAGGGGGTTTCTCAAATTATTTTTGGGAGGGGGGGTTTTCTTAACTACATTTACTAGATGAGGGGGGTCTTGCTAATAATCCCATATATATACACTATTAAAACATGAAAGAAAATCAACTTAAATTATAGGGATAATTGGCTGGAGCCCCTCATTTGAACTTATATCGATGTGAGGATCTATTTTGTTAGTTAATTATTGCTA